ACCCACCGGCGGCGGCCAGGCGCCACAGCAGGGCGCTCAGCACCAAAGCCCGTCCTGCGGCGACGGCGCGCAGCATCCTCGGGGGAGCGGTCCGTCGGGATTCCGGCGGGATCCCGGCGAGATGCCGGCGAGGCCGAGCGCGGCGAGCTGCCGACGGGGCGGGAGGCGCCGGCTTATATCTGCGGGAGGAGAGGCGGGGACTGCGGGCGCCTCGCCCGAGGGGCAGCCCGGCGAGGAAGGCGGTGGGAGCGGCGGAGGCCGGGTGGCCGGCCCGGACGGGGTCACGGGGAACGAACGGGAGCGGGGCTGGCGGAAGCGCTTAGGCATCGCCGGATTGAGCAAGCGGAGGAGGGGATCTTCAAGGAAACTGGCTTCGCCGTGAGGAAAGGGGCGCTGAGGGAAAGGGCGGCACGTCGCCCGGGGGGCTGCGGCCCCGGCACCGTGTCCCCGGGCGCAGGCCCACCTGGGCGTGCAGGGACACCTGGGCATGCCCGCAGCCCGTGCCTCCCCGCCTTCTCCGCGCCCCCGGACACCCGCAGCAGCCGTTCGCTTCCCCGCCGTAGGACGGAGTATTGGCGAAACTGGGCAACGCTTGACAACCGGCTTCAACCGCTGCAAACCTGTGGCTGGCCGTCAAGGGCGAGGGGTGCTAGCACAACCCCGGCTGGGAAATGACTGCTCTGGAGGGCAGCTGGTCCTGCGGAAGCGATATTGGGTTAATTAACTTAGGCCCTGTAAATTCTGAAGGGCTAAATATCTCAGCTCTTGCCTCGCCACACCAAACGTTTGACACAACCGTTCGGGTAGCTCACACCCTCTGTTCGCTGGCCCTGTGCACGCGCCTACGCGAACCCTGCCGAGGCGCACCGGTCATACGAGACAGCGAGTAAGGCTCAAGTGTTCAGGGGTCTGTAGCTCACTTCTCCCATATATCAGGGACCCGTTAACCCTCTTCCTACAAGCTTACATCGGAAAGGCACGCCATTTTCGCAGGTAACAGAGAATCTGTCTCTGACAGAAGGTTCTCTGAATCTCAGCCTGCAGCCTCTGCGACAGGCTGCCTGGCCTCTCTGGTGTATATATTGCTCTTTCTCACGGTGCTGCCTTTCTAAGCACTTAAAGCAAGCTTTTGGAGGCGGGGGTTTGCGTGCTGTGTTTTCGTCTAATACTCGAGCTCTAGAGGGAGCTGTGTTCGCACTTAGCTCACAATTCGTCTGCGGGGAAGGTGGGACACAGATTATATAGTAGAACATATTATGTAATTAAGGGGGATGGATGCCTTTTAAGCTGACTCTTCTTTTTATTTTGATGCTGATTTGTACAATGTTTTGTACCTAGAAAATACAAGTAGGAGGGGAAGACTAACGGGGAAGTTTCATATTTAATTGCCTTTAATTTTCATGAGTGACACACACTTAGATGCAAGCAATCAGTTCTGTTTCATAATGCAGAATAAATGCATGTGGACCAAACTACAATACCCATTTAAACTGGAGTCTGCATTAGAATTCATACAGTGTGTTCCGAGGTGCACCTAAACCCCGGATTTTTAAATTATCAGCATACCTTCATTAAAATCCAGCCATACACCTTCTAATTTTCCTGCCTTGTTTTTGGTCAAATTTCAGTGCTGTCTCTATGCAGCTGTATGTCAGCATTACATCAGCCAAAAAGCTCGCATGCTTTTAACTTTGTGTAGAACATAGCTCTTGTGTGACTAGATTTTCAAGATTGTGACCTTGTAAGATCACAGTTGATTTCCACAGGACTTTACAAAGAGAAACAATACTCACTTGTTTAAAGAGAAGAGGTGCTAATATAAAACTTTAAATCACCTTTAGGCTCTAATTCCTGGTAATTTCCTTGTAGTTCAGTCACAAAAGATGGAAGGCAGGTCAGTGGTGGTTTCCAGTTTTTATGGAGATGATCTCAGTACCCCCTTCTGCCCATCCTTCTCACTCCCACCTCTTCTGTCATGACCTACCATACTTGAGATAGGTGGGGAACCCTCCAGACCCTGTCCAGACTAAGCAGCTTCCAATTTCCAGCAAGATATTCCAGTGTTCACTGATGCTGTGACATCCTGCAGACATCCTGCTCCATGGAGCAGACATCCTGCTCCATGCTGTGGCATGAGACAAGGAGGCCACCAGCTTACCAGAGTGGTAGGAAGCAAAGCCTGAGCAGAAGGTTGTGCATGGATCAAGGAATCAAGCAGGGCCTGGGGGTGTGTGTGTGTGTGTGTGTGTGGTGTTGTGTGGTTAAAGGAAATAAATAGAGTAACTTTACCAAGCTACCCATTCTGAGGGAAGGAAGTCGAAGGGAACATTTGAAAGCTGGGGGGAAAGACAGCATGCCAAGGGGACAGTGTAGCTAGATCACGTTGGCAGGGGAAGGGCGTGATGGACAAGGGAGAAGCACTGAGGTGAGGAACTGCTGCTGCTGCCACCTCTGCTCTTCTTTGTCCTCTCTCACCAAGTCTCGGTGCAGATTTGGCCAAAGAATGAGAACAGCTCAGCACTGCCTGACTCCAGGCATCAACCACTGTGGGAGAGGAGAGGAAACCTATGCTGCCTGACATGGGCTGATGCCTCTGAGCTGGAAATCTGCTCAGCAGCTAGTGACTTAACTGTGACATTCTGGTCACATTTCCTGCCCACTTCAGTGGTATTTCAACAGCTCATTTAAGACAGAAAATTTTCCCCTTATTTCAAATATATGTTGCTATGTGCAGGCAAGCATTATGCTGACTTAGAGCTCTGGCAGTTTGTCTAGAAATTTAGAATTTGGCTCCCATAGTGGAATGTCAAAATGTAAGTATTGACTCTGTACATGTCTCTAACTGATTTAGTCATCCTTTGCTCATTTTACAGTCAGCAGAGAAAAAAATCATTCCTAAGGTGAAATCCATGTTTTCCTAGTATAGGCATCTAAAGGAAGTCAGATTAATCTATTTAAATATTGAAATAAACGGGACATTTCTATTGATGGTGGCCAGGACCTTACTATGACCTTTTAGAATATGCGGGAGACATGCAAGAGCACAAGCCCGGCTGCATGCTTTAGGTTAGGAGATGACTTCTTCCGCTCTGTGACTTCTTCACTCTGGCGAACTTAGTGGAATCAAGGTTATTCACCATCGGGAAAGTTTGCCAGATTACAAGCAGATTCTATGGATTTTCTTTCCTTGATATCTATACCATGGAACAAATCCACACATTGATTATGGGAAAAGTGAGGAGAAAAGCGAAACTAAAACTGTGAAACTCCAGTTTTTTGAAAGAGACACATGTATTTATTTTTATCATATGATCTGCCAGATCTCTAAACTGGTTAGCCTAGAGAGGGCTACAAAATAATTTCTTGCTTAGGAAAGCAATTTCAACATCATGTTTTCTGTACTATCATATATAATTGTTGACATTCAAGTGGAATGCCTCGTGTGACAACAGTAACAGACAAGTTTCCTTACGCTGATAGTTTTGCAAGATTGTAAGTAATATTTTGTAATACTTATTAATGTTTTGAAATTCTGTAGTGCTATAAAACATTCATCATTCCATGCTAACATAAAAGTCAGCAATATTGTCATGCCCAACGGTGTAAAATGTACTTGTGTGTGTAAGATTTGAAATCCCTGGGAGCTTTTTCCAAAATGAAATTGCTCCTGATATTTCTCCTTTCACTTGGCTTTTCAGATCTTTGTTTAATTTGTCTCAGTGATGCATATGATTGGGTAATTAATTTATTTATACAATTAATTCTATTTAATTAGATAAAACAAAAATTTGGGGAGCAATCTCTGACTTGGTACCTGCTTCTATAAATATCTTAGTATTTATCTTGCAGAGCTGCTGTATCAAATACTGTGTTATAAATGCATACACAGACTCACAAATACCACTGCCTTTTAAACATTGTGTTTTAGCAGTGCTATAATTAATATATTTGGTAAGTGAAACAGCTTTGTTAAGTATAAAATATCTGTATAGTGTGCTAGTAAACAGGCTGTGAAAGTCAATAACATACACTGTGGGTACCTGACATAGGTCTTTGTTCTTTCAATCTTTTTCAGTTCCAACCAATTTTCTAAAAGGAAAAGGCCCTTCAAAAGTCTTGAAATGAGGGCAATTTTACATCAAAATTTTCTGTCTGTGCCTATAAATGGCTTAAAATCATCAGTTAATTTAGATTATATACAGCCTGTGGGTTGTATTGCACCCATTTTATACTTAGGGAGGAAACTGTATTCACCCAGCTCTTCTGTGGATATGCTGAAAGTCTATGGTGAAGTCAGGAATGTACAATGTCTTGATTTAATACTAATTTCTCTTCTTGTGTCATAATCACAAGATTATGCTTTTTTTTAAGCAAAGAAACATTTCTATCTATGGAATGTCTCTATTGAAGATAGAGGAAAAATATAGAAAATTAAATTCAGTATGTAGATACTTCATAAATCTTTACAAGCTGAGTAACTCGTTTGTACTAATGTTCTGCACCAAGGTATGGAGGGTGTGAGAGTTCATTAGATACATGCACTGGTCAAAAGTTACTCCTGTCACTGAGCAATTCTGCAGTGCTCTCTGATTATTGCTGGCCTATTTTTGTAGCTGCTAAACAGCTGCATCTTCCCTAATTGTAACATGAATTGCAGGTGGTGATTACACCAATGAACATCAAGTCAGAAAAAGCAAAGAGACTACAATCAGAGCTTATATAAAAAGGGCTATATTGACAAAATTTGTGTAACAGTATTTGTAATTAAGAGGATTTGTATAATGTTGTAGAATTTGTTACCAAGTCCCCTTTTTGATGCACAGAAACTGAATTAGTATAATTTTACCAACGCCTGTAGTAAGCAATGTCATTAAACTAGTGTAATGGAGTGAAGAACCAACTTTTATACCTAAAAGTAGTTGTGTTTATTCCTGAAGTCTCCACACCAATGAAAGTCCCAGTGTGGTAAATTCCTTGTGCATCTCTAATTTATCTAAACTACTATAAATTATTCTATGATTCTAAAACCGCCTTGTGATTTTATAAAATCACATGTAGCTTAACTGAAAATAACAA